GCGGTTCGGTGCCGCGCCCCGGGCCGTCGCCGCACGCAGAACACGGGAGGGGGTCGGGCCCAGCAGATGGGGTCTCCGGGCGCCTGCTGGAGCCCCTCCAGCCACTGCACTCCACAAACCCCGCTCCCCGCCGCACGCCGTGCAGACCTCTGGCACACGGGAATTACCAGCACTCTGCGCATCCCTGCAGCCTGTCACAAAACAATTGGGATGGCTCTCAGATAAGTCTGGAATTAAGTATTCGTTATTCATCTTAACAAAAACGGCCGTGTGCTGCTTGGCTGGGCAGGTTAGGGCTCGGGCGCTGCCCCCCTTCCTCCCGCACCCCGACGGCGGCTGGCAGAGCAAACCGCGCCGGGGGACGCGCAGCGAAGACCACGGCTCCGCACCAGGGGGATCACCCCGCGGCTGGCAGCCCGGGAGCTGGGATTTGGCTTCTCACACTCGTTCCATCAGGTGTTTGTACATCCCCGGCCGCATCAGGTTGCTTTTACCTGCGGAATCTTAACTTGCATCCCACAGCCGGATCCTACCAGCCTGGTACCCAGCCTGAGTTCACGGGCTCGAGTTTTGCCAGCGTTTTTGCTGGCACATCCTCAATATCCTCAGCCCCCAGATGCAATAAGCTCTTCCCTCCCGGCCAGCTCTGTGCTGAGACCGAGAGCTCAGGGAGGGGACGCAGGACAGGGCCAGGCACGGTGCCACAGCTCCACCGTGGCAAAGCCCGGCAGCTTTTCAGTCCTCTCCCATTAACTCGCAGGCGTTGGCACGGCCTGGGTGTGGGGCTTACCTTGAGCGCATCCAGGATTCGGCCATCGTAGTCGATCACCACAGTGTCACCCTGCTCCCCTTTCAGGCCAGGGGGACCCTGCAAGCGGGGACGAATCCTATTTATTTTCTGCAGCATCTGAGAAGCAGGTGGCGTGAAAGCAAAGACCCAGCACCCAGGTGTGGGAGCACTGGCCCCCTACAAACGCCATCGATTAATCAATTCCTAGTCTGACCAAGCCTCAAAAGGGCGGGGATTTGTGGAACTGAGAAGCGCATCAAAATCCTCACTGGATTACCCTATTCGCAGCTTCCCCCCGGAAAAGGGGGTCACGGGATGGTCCCACTGGTAGGGAAATGGGACTTGGCTGCATTTCCCGGAGCTATCTCCCGTGGCAGTGCCTGGTGCCTGCACGATGACCATTTAAATAGCACCGTCCCGATTTTCTAGCGCTGAACTGATCAGCCCCACACTAAGCAGGAAGAGGTGGCAGGGAATGGCTCGGGTCGAGGCAAATACGCGGCTCCAAACTGAAAAAGCAAAACCCTGAACATCCATACCCGGGGTCCGACGGAGCCGATTCCTCCCTTCTCACCAGGTTCACCCTGAAAATCAAAATCACATTTCTGGTTCAAAGAAACCAGGGAAAATAGAGGACATTTATCTTAAAAATGTTGTAACTACACGAGATGCCAAGATATGTTTTAGATTAAGAAGAAGTATGGCACCGACAAGGAACTGCTGCTCCTGGCAAAAAACAAAAAATAGATTTGACTTCAGAGCAGAAGTATTTTGCAAAAAGTAACACTGGTGTGGGCTAGCTGAGAGCATGAACGCCTCCTCATGGGGGGGCAGAGCTCCCCATAACGGTGCCGCGCTGCGCCACTCGCCCACTCCGCCGCTGGCCCCCCCCCCGCCAAGCCCCGGCCCTTTGTGCTGAGCTTCCCATGGCTCCCTCTTTGCTTTAGGCTCAATTTTGCATGTGGAAAGTTTCAGCCAACACATTTAAACCATTTTTGAGGGTGAGTTTAAGGAAAAGGGCTGTGCCAAATTTTTCTATTTTTCTTTTTGTCCCTTTTTTTTTTTTCCCCACCCCCCCCTTTTTATTTTGCAAGTTGGGAAATTTTGGCAAGCCGCAGCACTCCCACAGCAGCGACCTGAAATTCAGTTCAGGATTCAAAAAAATGCACCGTTTGCCATACCCATGGAAATCCATTTACTGGCCAAATTAGAGCCCTTCTAAAAGGGAATAAAACGCAAAGGCTCTCCGTAGGAAAACTCAATTCAGCAGATCCTGGGGGCACAAACCAGCACCGCTGCTGTGGTTTTAGCAAAAAAAAATGGCGAAGGGTCACCCAAGCCCGTGTCTCCATCACGTACAGCCCCCTGCCCAACGGGGAGCCACTGTCCGATACAGAAAGCACGACCGGACACCG